GTTTCAAATCGTTATCTTTAACGGTTTCTGAGAAAATCGCTCTTGAATTAATCCCACTTTGGTCAATTTCATAGTAATTTAAACAAAAAATAATAATAATAATTTTCCTTTCCTCTCTTTTCCATTTAAAGGATTAATTTTTATTTAATTTAATTTTTTATTATTATTTTTTTATTAAAATTAGATTAAATTTGCACAAAAAAATTTTTTTTGTTTAAATTACCCATGTTCATATGAACTTTTTTACTTAGTTTTGATCATAGAATCGGCCTGTTCAGGGTTGGCAGCTAATTATGAGACACCCTGTATAGTTATATTAGGATTAAAATTCTTACCTTTATGACGAGCAAATTTTGTATTATAAATTACGAGACGAAAAAGGAATCAGAATAAAACATACTATTCTTTCTCCAACCGAATTCTCCAATTTAATTATTAGTTTATGCTTTGAAATTATTCAAACTAAATTTAGATAATAAAGCAAAGTATGTAAGTAGACTATATCGATATAGTCATGGATACTTTGTCAAACATTAGTCGCCATAATGTTAATTGAGTACATTTGTGATTGTTTGTGGTTCAATTTGCTGAAAACTGTAAAAATGGGGTCTAATAAAGATTTAGTTGTACCTGAGGAGATACTGAAGTGTGGGAGAGGTTTCTTTTAATCTTAACACAAGGAAATCTGGAGAAAATTATGAATGTCTACCAACATTTTATGGATTGGTGCAAAGAAAAAATATTAACTTCCGAACATTCAGAAGATGTATTATGTATTGATGGTGTATTTCACAAACTTAGCAAATAAAATGAAGCCGTCAACGCTTTGGTCACAATATTCAATGTTGCGGTTAACGTTGGATATAGAGAAGGGGATTGATATAAGCAAATATTCAAGGTTACGTGCTTTTCTCGAGAGACAAAATAAGGGATATGTACAGAAAAAATCGTGAGTATTTACAAAGGAGCAAGTTGATTGCCTTTTAATAGCGCAACTAATAATTTATATTTGATGATGAAGGTAAACGCTGAAAAAATAACAGAACAAAATTTTTAAAAAGCTTCTTTATAGGTTGTCCTAATATTGGGGTTTGCAGGCGCATGCCGTTATGATGAATTAGTAAATTTAACAATTGATAATGTAGAAGATTTGAAATCCGCCTTATATTAAAAATTCCCAATACCAAAACCAAGAGACCACGTTCTTTTACTGTGCTGGGAGACAATTATTTAAGTTTTTATCCGAAATATGTTGCTTTACGTCCACCTGAATTGGTAGAACGTTAATTATTTCTCAGATATGTAAGTGTCATAGAATGGTGATCAGTATTCATAAAATCAGTGCCGTTTGCAAGAAGTGGCAAAATTTTTTAAGCTGGAAGCTTAATTTCCACAATACCTTAAATTAACATGAACCCGTCAAACCTTAAATTAAAGGAATCAATTTATTAATGTCAAAGAGTAACAGCCGCTAAAAATGACAAGCACTGATTTACATGCATATGTACATAAATTTTTTGTTAACGTTGTATTGTAAAATACATATTCAGGCCGAGTATGTATCCCATTTTATCATAATAACAGTTATGTTATTTCAGGGTTGTTAACGTTACCTGTTAAGATATAACGTGCATGTTATTGAGGAATTAAGACCATTTTTAGCAAATACTCGTATTGCAATTTTGTTGTTTTTTGAAGACGCTTTTGTGTCGACATTTTTAATAATAATTATGCAAAATTATTATAAATAAGAGTCAGTATTAGACAAAAACACATATAACTGACAGATGTCATTTAGGTTATGAAATATGAAACAAATGCAAACTCGTAAATAACGGGTAAATACAACATAAAATAGTTTGTAACATGTTATCTTAAATTATAACAGAGTTTCTTAAAGGCAAGGAATTTGGTGTTGCTANAAAAAAAAGCGTTTGTAAAACATGCGTTTGCTGTTATTCTAACCCCACATTTTAAGAATTATTTTCACGTACTTATAAATAAAAGTAAACAATTTTATATGTAGGACTAAGCAAGTAAATGTTATAAGAATATTTACATGTGGAATTATATATAAAAAAGTTAGTATTTTCGTAGATTTCAGTACCTAAAACCTTGATGGTTTGATCGTTTTTTGCACCTGTTTATTCGTTTTACTGCGGCGTCTTTGAAAATAACCAGATGGCATGACATAACATTCCTATTATTAGATAAGCTTTAGATTATTCAGTTATTAAATGTTTGAAATTATTTGTCTTTGCGGAAAACACTATTTAAAGAATATGGGGCCCTTAAAGGCAAGGAATTTGGTGTTGCTATAGTTTAACGTAGTTGTTATTTGTCTAATGAAAATGAACGGCTTGTAAAATTTCCATTTACTTGCCGGTTTTATAAACGCACATCGAAGGTAAGTTGTAAAATTTAAGTAATTAGGTAGTAATATATACTATAACGTACGTATATATAAGTATTTACTCTAAAATTATTGTTAGGTTAAATCAAACGAAGAATCTAACAAGGAAACTACCCTAACCCGAACTCTCCAATTTCCCATATTTTTATATATGTTGTAGACTCGATTGTAGAACATAAAAAATTAAATGACATATTTTTTTTATCGGCGGAAAAACATATTTAGGGGGTGAAATACATCCTCAAAGTTAACCCCCCAAAACAGTTTTTTCTAAATATCTGGGGTTCTAATCAATATTTTGGAATGAAAAAAAATGTAAATTGCTTCTTATAAAAAAACAAATGTTTCACATTAGATTCCGTGTTTGGAGGCTGCTACCCTTATTTTTTATTTCAGAAAAACTATATTTTTCAAACATTTTTTATATATAAAAAAATTCCTATTAAAAAAATTAAAAAATATGATTTATGTAAACAAATTGACAAAATAAAGTTCTCTTTTTAGGGGGTGAACAACCCTCTAGTGTGCTAAAAATGTCTGTACGATTAGAATTAACATTGCAAAATAAAGATGATTAGAGAAAAAGTAAAAACTTTTTATTTTAAAATGTTAATTCTAGTCAGCACAGAAATTTTTCGCACACTAGGGGGTTGTTCACCTCTTAAGAGAACTTAATTTTGTCTATTTGTTTACATAAATCATATTTTTAATTTTTTTTAACAAATGAATTTTTTATATACCTATAAAAATTATTTGAAAAATATAGTCTGAAATAAAAAATAAGGGTAGCAACCCCCAAACACGAAAACACTAATGAAACATCTGTTTTTTTATAAGAAGTAATTTTGCATTTTGTTTCGTTCCAAAATATTGATGAGAACCCCGCCCAGATATTTAGAAAAATCTGTTTTGAGGGGCGAACTTTGAAGATGTATTTCACCCCTAAACATGTTTTTCCGCCGATAAAAAAATACGTCTTTTATTTTTTTTTTGTTTTGTGTGGTTTTTCCCCAATGCTCAATAAATCAACTTTAGTAGCAAACTGTTGTCATAAAGCATTAATAAGTTTTAATTCTGATGGTTTCGTTTTGCCGGTACGTAGTCTGTTGTTATGAAACATGAAACAAATACCTACAACGTAGAGGAAAAACTCTGTTTCATTTCATTACAATTAAATAACATGTCTGTTTGACGGATACTTATAAGATATAGGTATGATATATGTTATTACGGCATGTTATTTACAAACGTTATTTCTAACATAACATTTTACCGTAAATGGGATACATACTCGGCCTGAATGAAGTGAGCTATAAGCTTTTAAAATTAAAACCCCCACTCTCTAAGACACCATATATAACCTGACCTTATTAATTTATTATACATATAATTTAAACTTACCTTATTAATTTCACCCAATAAGTCACACAGACAATTCCACTTTAAATAAGCAGTTGGATAAAATGCATGAAAACAAGATACAAATGTGTTATGGCATTCATCCAATATGTTGTTTAACATAAATATGTTAGTATTATTTGATTTATTTATTTCTGTTTGTGTTTGCATATTATCTGACAGGATCTGTTTCAGAAGTGTTCTAGTGTCTCCAACACATTCTGTTAAAGCAATATTTTCTATGGGTATCCTTTTATTTATACATCTAGGATAAATTTCATTAATATACGTACAAATCAGACGTAAACTGGCTTTGCTAATATATACTAGTCTTTCCAATTCCAGATTATCATACACATTTTTAGCAGATTGACCTTCAACCATTCCCCATTTGAAGGTATTCCACGACCACTGAAGTAACGATAATAAACTTTTAAAACACTCCTTTGATACTGTTCTAGAGAAATCCTTTGATAAAATATACGTAGATTCTGTAACATCGCCAGGTTTTTGCGGAGTCTGATTTTCATGAGAAATAATTTTATACAATAGTTGTGGAATTTGGCCCGCATTTACATCGGTACCATTATTTGATTTTTTTGATGATTTAAAATAAAAAATAACTTGATCCTCAGTTATAATCATTGTTTGACCAGAAGATCCACAGTCACTGCTTGGTCCACTTATTCGGCACCAAGCCACGTACCAACGATGAGCCTTGAAATCAAATGTAAAAATATTGTTAGTTTATTTTATATTGTAACTTAGATGGTAATAATTAAGTTAATTTTAAACAGTTAATTAAAAAACACAGTCTGTTATACATTGCCATCCCTGTTCGTGTGCGTGTGCGCGCGCGTCAGTGTGTGTTTTGTTTTTGTTTTGCATTTGTTGCCTATAATAACCACATTTTAGCAATATTCATTTTCATCGATGACCTTTAAAAATTCACAGTCCACAAAAAGAGTTTTTATAAAGTTTCATAATTATGTAAAAACGGGATCTTAAGGAATTTTTTCGTAGACACATACATATATACAGGGTGTTTTAATTAAAACTTCCCACATAGAAAATATTGGAATTAAAGAAAAAAACCCTGAGATACGTCGATTCTCTTTTCAAGAGGGACACGTGATGGCGTAAGTTTTGAGGTTTTGAAAGCTACCCCTTAGGCAGGAGCGTAAAATACCCTTAAATTTTAAATAGCACCCTATGTTGAGTGGCATCTCATTTTAAAGCTTTTTCAGTTCTGCTCACGACGACATACGACTTTTTAATGTTTGGTTTCAATGAATGAAAGAATTTTATTTTATTAAGTGTTCAAATTGGTTTTTCTTCGCTTCCATACAATAATAAAATATTTGCTCCACTTCTGAACGAACATTTCGAAGCATTTTGGACGTTATCTGATGACAATCTTCAACAAATTCTAGATAAAAAAATTTATTTTGATTTTTTGTTTATCTGTCAATACAAAAACTTCATACTCTATCAGTTCAACTTTTTTACCCGTTTTACTTTAAACGAGACAATATTGTCTGGTCTTATCTTGTCGAGAAAATATCCCGTAAAATCATACGGGTATACACAAGGTATTGCTCATGATTCGGTGATCCTAAAAATTTCAACTCAATCCGTTGACCGATTTTCAAATTACATGATTTTTAAATTGCGAATATTTGTCTCAGCCGTGGCAATGCAATGACGTCACCGCATGGGACGGTTAGCCGACTTGGCGCGCTGTGGCGGCGTAGCAATTAGGCGCGCGTACACTACTTCAAGATGAGTTTCTGCATCTATCATATAGATGTCTTATCGTTTATGCATATTAAATTTAAAAAATAGAAGCAAATTTCGTAAAAGAAGATTCTTCTAATTTGCCAGATGTAGGTTTGTTAATGGTTATGAATTTTTTAAAAGAGTAATAATGATTTTGTTCATTTCAAGTGTCCAAAAACGGCTTTGAAAAAAGTACAAACTTTTTTGTCGCGTTTTTCTTGAAAATCTTTTTCGATTTTCATTTCTCGATAATTTCTATTACAGGAATCGACATTTTTACACGAATTGAAAAAAAAACGTTGCTCTACGACCTTCAAAAATTTCCACAGGCCGCTATTTAAGCGTCCATTCTTACGAATTATGTGGAAAATGAAGTTGGTTGCGTGGAAAATATAGGAAACGAAACCATGGAAGAAGAAGAAAATGAATCACAATCGAGGGAATTGAAGAGAAGAAGAATTGAAACATAAAAGGGATATACATAAGCTGTGAAAATAAAAAATCGACGAATATTTTTATAACACGTAATTTTCTGTACGATAATTAAATAAATATTTTGTAATACTTTTATAACAGAAATATATAATTAGGTACCATAAAACGTTGTACTTACTTTATTTCATAAACAATTATTGAAATGTTAACAAGAGGTGAGAGAATTTAAGATTAGAGGAAAAATACATTTTTCAAAGGTAATTATCCTTTTGAGGCTGTCGTAAACATCATATTTTGGTTTATCTCGTCGAGCTACCCCAGATTAAGTACAAAAGAATTTTTGTACGTGGTCCAAAGGTCGAAATAAAGTAGATTTTGAAAGTAAGAGCGCTTTTGAACGTGCGAATCCAGTTTTCGAAGCGGCCGAGTAGCGTTACCCCCACTCCGCCGCCCGCTACAGTTAGCTCGCGCCGCTTGGATGTTTCGGTTTGACGTACAATTAAAAATGCAGAAGTGGCTAAAATGAATGAATGTTTTTTATTGAAAATATAAGTCTTCAACTTCAATCTCTGTAAGAATGGACGCTGTAGCACTTAAATAGCGGCCTGTGTAATTATTTGGGGAAAAAATTATTTCGACTCCAGAAGGCCATAGAACGTTTTTTTTAAATTCGCCTAAAAATGCTTGCAATCGATTCTGTAATAGACATTATCGAGAAATGAAAATCGAAAAAGATATTCAAGAAAAACGCGATCAAACATTTTTTACATTTTTCAGTCATCTTTGGATACTTGAAATGAATATAATCGTTATCACTCTTTTTTTACCATGAAAGTACAACTCTTAAGGGAAAAAATGAGTCCTAATTCGTTTCTCTACGACTATTCGTCGAGCAAGAAAAGCCGATTTTCGAGATAACCTTTTTTTCGAAAAATCGATATTACTCGAAAATTTTTTTATATTTTTTAACTTAAAGAAAGGCACTTTTTTGCTTGCCGAGGGCTACATTTACGGAAAGTAACAAGTTTCAAAACCTTAATTTGCAAGAGATACAGCAAAAACAAAAAAGGCGATTTTTGACGATATTTTGGATATATTTCGAAAAGTAATATAGCAATCGATATATTTAAAAATAGAAATCGATAGGTTTTTTTAATAGCTACAACTTTCTCATTTAACATTTTTCGATTGAAATTCAAGTTTTTTTTATTGGCGAAAACCAATTTTTTTTTTGCTTTTATGAATTTTTTAGATTAACTTCGCCGTTTATGCGCCACAGGAAAAATACATCATCTTTCTTAGATTTTTTTTTCTTATCACCATATTTTTGTTTCCAGGTAGTATTTTTTGTATATTTAACATAAGGCCGTGATAAATTGATTGGACTATTTATAATTATAACACATAAGGTAGTTGTCTCCCGCAATATCGGCAGTTAGGCAATCTTGTTTATGGGATTAGATATCTACTGCATACCTATTTAGATTTCTGGTATCGGAGAACACTGTTTTACTTCATTTTATAAGATTTTTGAGACATTTTTTTTAATTTGAATTAACTTAATGCCTTTAAAATAGAGTAAAAAATACAAGAGGTAATAGAATATATGTTTTTTAAAATAGAAATAGAAATTTTGTCATACTAAATTAAAGTAATGAGTGTTAAATAGCTTTTGTCAAATAAAAAACTACTAATTACTAGGTACTACTACTACTACTACTACTACTACTACTACTACTACTACTACTACTACTACTCAATATTTATACTACTACTATTGATTTATATCGTCTAAATTAAACAATTTACGTAATGCTGTTATTAGCCACGGTCGATTATCACAAGAAATAAAAAATACCAACGAATCAATTAAAATAGCTTTACGATTAAATAATTTTTTACAATAAATATCATTATTATACAGGGTGTCCCAGAATAACGTGTACAACGGAAGACCACAAATTCGTGGACTCAAAATAGGCAGATTTAGGCTAATTCAGTTATATCCGAAATCGTTTCGTTTGGCCGCTAGATGGCCTCAAAGTTCGTGAGAATTTTTTTAATATTGTAAACAACTCGAATACGTATTATTCGATTTTGATTATTTTTGGAGTGTGGTCTTTTGCTTTCAATCTACACATTTTGGTGTTACACAGAGTATTTTTAAAACTTGCAACTCCTACAAAATTGAGGCATGGTGATATCTGTTCATAACTTTTTCCTTTTTCGGGCAAAAATTACAACTATTTTTTATTTAATAGTTAATACCATTTGGAAGTTTTTGGGCCTCTTGTAGAATTTTGATTAAATGAGCCGTTTATGTACAAAAAAATATTTTTAAATGTATAAATTATCTCGCCACCCATATTACAATACTTGACAAAGTGCTAGTAGGCTCTGATTTTGTAGGTTGACTGTAATTTCGGTTTGATCTTTAAGTCATTGTACCTGCCAGTTCTGTTTTACCAGAAGCGGAATAAAAAATATTCACAATGAACATGTGTATGCTCAAGAAAATCCACATGCTGTGAAAGTGAAACATTATCAACAAGAATTTCGCATCAATATTTGTTTTGAGATCATTGATGATTGATTATTGGACCTGTTATTTTACCCAATAGACTGAATGGGTAATTTTATGTAGAATTTATGCAAAACCTGAGTTTTTGCAACATGTGTCGTTATTACTCAGAGCTACCATGTGGTTTACGCATGATAGCGCTCCACTACATTTCACTGTAAATATCCGGCAGTATCTGAACCAAAAATTCCCTCGTCGATGGATCGATAGAGGAAATAATTTTCCTGTTAAATGGCCTATGCGTTCACCAGACTTAACACCTTGCGACTATTCGGGGCACTTTGAAAACAACATTGTTATGCTTCCACATTTAGCACTGAAGAAGAGTTGTGGAGGCATATTCAAAATGCCATAAATGTTTTAAAATATAGCCCTTAAGAACAGCAAACGGTGTCCTTTAACTTCCTTCGCCGAATTAACCTCTGTTGTAGAAACAACGGTGGTCATTTTGAACAGTTTTTATAATAAGTTGTACTAAATTTAATAACATCAACTTATCCAAAAATGAAGTAACATATGGTATATTTTATCGTAGTGAACAATAATTAAGAATTGGCATTTACAATGACTTAAAGATCAAACTGAAATTACAGTCAACTTCAACAAAATCAGTTACTACTATAATTGTTAAGTATTGTAATATGGGTGGCAAGATAACGTAGACATTGACAAAATATTTTTTTGTACCCAAACCGCTCGTTTAATCAAAATTCTACAAGGGGCACAAAAACTTCCAAATAGTATTGTCTATTAAATAAAAAATAGTTGTCATTATTGCCCGAAAGAGAAAAAAGTTATGAACAGATATTTCACCATGCATGAATTTTGTAGGAGGAGTTTTAAAAAACACTCTGTACAACACTAAAATGTGTAGATTGAAAGCAAAAGTCCACACCCCAAAAATAATCAAAATCGATTAATACGTATTCGAGTTATTTAAAAAATTCAAAAAAATTTCACGAACTTTGAGGCCGTCTAGCGGCCAAACTAAGCGATTTCGGATATAGGTGAATTCGTCTAGATCTGCCTATTTTGAGTCCACGAATCTGTGGTCTTTCGTTGTACGCGTTATTCTGGGACATCCTGTAGAGTCAATGTTTGTACCTGTATATGTATTGGTTCATCAAATAATACAGGATATTTTTGTCTAGGACCACATTCATATTGTATGTCTTCAGTTTCGGCTAAAAGTTCTCCATCAATTTCTTGTTCACCTCCATCTGCACCAATATCTATCAATTTTAATTTAGCCGTGTATTCTCCACGACCTCCAAATAGTCCAAAGCCACCTAATAGCACATCAGTATCTGTCATAAATCGAATGGCTTCAATACTATGACCAGAATAACCCCATCCACCACCATGATTTTCAAATCTATTTATGCTTTGGAAATCTTCTTTAATATATTTTTTGCAAGGCATGAATTTGTTGTCTTTTATGTCTCTTTTATTTATAGGTAGGCGAAGGTCATATGTAGTGGTTAAAATATCGAGACAACATAATAAGTTTATTGCAGCTTGAAAACGTGTTACATAACAATCGGTTACTGCTGGTAGGGCTAATTCAGGCGACAATATAGAAGGTAGCTGAAATCTTTGAAATGAACATTTCGATTTGCTTCTAGTTTTTACATCAGGTAAAAACTTATTATTGACTCCCTTTAAAAAATCTGTTCGTAATTCAGATACTATAATATTATAACAAATAAATTCAGTAGTAGATATGTTGAGCGACCAAAAAACATTAAATATGTGATCCATACATACAATCTTATTAGTGAAATCTACCTGATGTTGGTTTTTAAAAGAACTGCAAACACCGTCCTTCTTGTTTATAGCAATGCACTTAAAATTTCGAGCAATTTCTTCTTCTTTTGGAAGTAAAACTAAAAAAAACACTATTCACTTAATAATGCAAATATTGATTTTAATAACTTACTTATTGAATTTTTATTTGCTACAATAGTTGACTTAGTAATACTAATGGAATTGATAAGATTTTCATCTAGTTTTAAAAAAGTTTGGTCACCAGAAGCACCTATCCAGGTAGCTTTACGACCATGTCTAGGCCCCACATTAGGAATTGGCCCTGGAAAACTGTACCAGGGTGTTCGAGGATTGTTATATCGAGAAGTTGAACACTGTCCATGTTGTACTGTGTCTTGTGATGAAGATTTACCATATATCCTACCTAGTTGTCCTTTCTATAAAAATTAAATTTAAAAAACTTCTACAACTGCTCTATGGTTATACAAACCTGTGCGTTGCCAAATGTATAAACTTCTCCTTTCAATGTTAAAACCACAGAGTGATTACTACCAGCTGCGATTTGGATAGCATTACAAGGCAATCTTACAAACTGAACACTACTTTTTGGTAAAATATCGCCACAACCTAATTGCCCATATAAATTTGATCCAAACGTACAAACCTGAAATATTTAAAGATAATACAATTTTCATATTTATTAATTATGGCAATAAAATTATTTGTAATAATTATTAGTTACTTTTTTGCTAAAACAGTGTTTCAATAAAATCAATCAAATTGTACGCATCACAAGATTCGGACGAATCGTTTTTTTTATGTTAATTTGTTAATGTGATTGTACCTACTTGTTATATGTATATGTTACATAATACATAACTTTAACTTTTAAACAAATATTTTTTTGCATTCACAAATTTAAATTCCGTTTTGTTGAAAAAGGTTGGCTTTTGAGATATTAGCAATGTATACCTTTTTTAAGCAGAAAAGTTGGAGGAAAATATTTCTTCACTCCACAAAAAAGTTTTGGCAATTTAAAAGCATACTACTAGTCGCTTATGGCGCCCTCTACAAGATACAATGAAATCGTCGATAAATTCGAATTTCTCATCCCAAAAATCCCCGACTACAAAATTTCATGAAATTATCTCGAAGTAGTCGGAAGATATTAAAGAAAATTACTTAAAATAATAACAAAGTAATTAATTACTTTATTATGATTTATTATAACAAATGTTGGAAATGACCACCTTCAGCCAAAATAGCATTTATTTTGGCTGAAGGGTCAGATCTTCTTGAAATTGCTGCTCGAACACGTACAAAAATTCCAGGAGTAGCTCTTATCACATCACAACCAGCTATAATTTGATGACGTAAGTGCTCCTGAGATTCAATACGAACCTTTGGAGTTGGATGATTTGGAAATCTTTCCATATAAATTCGCCTAGCATCAGTACCATTTCCATCTGCAGGGCCATAAATGTAAACCATATTGGCCATTTCAGCATTTGAATATGCACCCTGTATATATATTTTCACGCTATTTATATATTATTTTATAACTGCTATTTACTTGTAAGTGTCTCTAATTATTATGCTGACAATAGAAAATCGCCTGCTGAGTTGCTAGCTGATAATAAATCGTATAAAAACCCAACCAGCCGCTCAGGAGGACGACTATAGATTCAGACTTCACGTTGTTAATTGTAATTAGACAAATAAAAGTGTTTTCTTCAAAACTTGTTATAATTTAAAGTTATCTACGGTTAAGTGCTGTTGAAATTCATCGGATCAGAACTGCTAGGGGTTGGTCAACTAGCCGCAGTTTCCCTGTAGAGAACGAACCAATAACTGGCACAGTCGGATCCGGATTTTGTAACAAAGGTCATTCTAGTTGAAGAACAAGAAGAACCTGTTCATTGCTGCTGTATTCTTCAAGTTCCTAGAGCCCCAACTTCCGGAAAAGAACCTCACGAAGAAACACTGCACAGGAAGACTCAACTTCAGGAAAGCTGTTGTCTACGCTAAGGCTCTGCTGTATTTCCAAAAGTAAGTCCTTTCCTAAGTCCTATAATTACAGTGCTAACAGAAGTGAATCTATTTTCCATTAATTTTAAGAAATTAGAATTAAGACTTTTTTTAGTCAACACAATAGTAACGAACTTAGCATTAGTACGTTAGGAGAAGGCAGATTGAGGCCTAACAGAGCTAAGTGAGCCGACGTTGAGACTACAAGATAAAAAACCTTTATCTTGATTAAGAATTTTTCTTTTTTTTTGAAAAAGTAAATAAATAAATGGTTATTTCTCAAACTATTAAATTAACGTTTAATCAATGAAAGTAGAGGCAAAAATAATTGCTGTAACTAATAAAGAAATTGAGAAAAAGAAAATGAATAAACACTTTAATCCTTTCAAAAATTCTAGTGAAAGGCAATTGCAATTTCTCTATAATAAAAACGAGGAATTACCTAAACTAGTTATAAGTACAACAAATTTAAATACAATTAAAACAGAAAATCAATAATTAAATAGTTTTTAATGCCGAAAATTCCGTTAACCCATTACTGGCCAAAACAAAAAAAAACACATTTTTTAATGATTTATTTTTTTTATTAAAGTATATTCAAAACACATACATTAAGACTAATTTACTATTGAAAAAAATCATAAACAGTATTTTGAAAAAAAAACACGTAGGTGCGTATACGCACCTTTGGCTGAAAACAGTTATTAAAACTAATAAAACTAAATTAGTTTTTTATGTGAAAATTTTCAAAGTAAGCTGGATTCAAATGCACTTTACACAAATAAATAGTATTATTTTTGCGAAATCGACACTTTTTTCTTGCACTATTAATCTCTTTATAATATAATATGCCCGATATTGTCAAATTTGATGTCACCTGGTAGAGCGGATTGAGAGAGTGTTCCATGGGTTCAGTTGAATACTGCGGTATTTGAAGCAACATCGCTGTTTTCTGTATCTAAAGAGAGTGCTAAATCCGACAGAAATTTTAGCTAAGATTTCGTTGTGTCCACAGTATAAAGTGCATTTGCATCCAGCTTACTTTGAACATTTTCACATAAAAAACTAAAAACGTCGTCTTCCAAATCATCATCACTATCTATACTTGGTTGTATTTGATACGCTCCTGCATTATCCGTCTGCAATTCCTCTTCTCCAATAATATTTTCATCAAAGTTTTCCTCATCTGTAATTTCATCTGTTTCTGGCGGCACATAAAAAACATCAACCAATTCAGCATTTTCACAATCTGAATCTTCTTCTAACAAAGCAAGTAATTCTTTAGTGGTTAATGCTCTTTTCATTTTCTATTTTTAAAAATGACTGCAATAATATAAACAAAATTATACCTCTATAGCTTCTATACAACTCAAAAATCTCTTACCTCATATTGGCACTAGATGTATCCAAAAAAATAACTATTATGCATTACAAAAAACTTTAGTTCAAACAATATTTTATAGAAAACTACACTTTTTTACACAAAGGAAAACCAAGAAGTACACTCTGCTAATAATGAACTGATATTTGTTCTGACAAGTCCTGTATGTTATATGCCAAGATTTGTCCAGACTTGCATAGGAGTGAATAAATATGTCAATCGTTATCGGCCAAAGGTGCGCATACGCATCCACTACATATATGTATCATTATGACCATCGTTTTGAAAACATATGTACAGAAACTACATGAGTATCAAAATAGATTTTATTTACGCCTGGCTCAAAAAAAAATAGTCTGTACAGTCTCTGGACTGTTGACATAAGATTCTGTAGGTAGCACAGCATAGAATTTTACGGATGATCTCAAAAAAAAATTAAATAAAAGGGTGCGTTTACGCACCTTTGGCCGTTAATGGGTTAATTCGACCAAGTTGTTTTAACCAAGAATTGGACGAGCCAATCGTTTTCCCCAGTACTTCTCAAACAGAAGATCTTGCTGTACCCGCTTTATTTGTTAACCCTCTACCGGAAAACAAATTAGAAATTAATCAACCTATAGATTACGGTCTTGTACGTATGTACATTGAGAATATTCCAAAATTTAATGGAGAAAATCCCCAGCTCCTACAAAAATTTATTCCTGCTGCTGACGAACTCTTTTTAGCTTTTCCGTCAGAAAACCAAACGTTTAAGTCATTTCTTCTTTCATCAGTGAAAGCTAGATTAATAGAACAAGCAGATTTGTCCATATCTTGCCGATTAGAATTAGATAATTGGAACGCATTGAAACAATTATTGTTAGAATTATTTGGAGATGGCCATACTATCTCTTCATTACAAAATAAATTAATTTACATTCAACTGGATAGTAAATTATCACCAAAACTTTTAAATCAGGAAATCATAAGTATTTTAAGTAATTTAGTTGCAAAAATCAATGAACAAAATCGGCCTGTTGAAGAAAAACAGGCTCAAGTAAATATTTATTCCGAAATGGCCTTAGAGACATATACGCGTTGTTTACCCGTTCAATATAAATAATTAATTAGAACTAGAAATATCACAAATATTACTGAAGCGATACAAGCCGTTATCGTGGAGGAACAATTTGAAGAATCATCCCGAAAATCAAATCAAAAAGTATTTCTACAAAAACCTAGAATAAACGCACCAAGACCAAATCAGTACCATCAACTCACTCATGCCTTACCAACCAACAATTTCCAAAAATTCCAAACTCAACAATCTAATTTTCAAAATTTTAATAGAACACAACAACCTAATTTTCAAAAGTTTAATAAAATATAACAACTAATTAGATAGCCATATTATAATAACGTAGCTTCTACAAAACAACCGACACCTACCCCAATGTCAGGTATATCCACTATACAATCCCAACAGAATAGACCCTTTCAACAAACCTTCAGACCAAAAACAAATGACTGGTACACTAGAAACGTTAATAAAACGGGACAAAATTTCCAAAAACTAAATTTAAACCATATTGAGGATTCTGACCCAAAATTTAACGATGACAAATTAGAGTACACATATTGTAAGGACAAAAACTCAACTTTTACAAAAATATTACTTTAATACTATTATTTTATTTCGAACACTCCTGCCGTGACTACGGTCAAATATCTAATCATCTTTCCACTTATATGCGACACTTGCTGACACAACAGTTCCCTTTAGTTCAACATAGTTTATTTCTTCTCAAATTATTTTCATAACAACCTGACCTAGGCCTCGCTGCGCCGCGTCGAGAGAATCGGACGGCGGACTAATCTAATATTTTTAAACAAAGAATAGAATACTTATTCCTTAAGTTAAGAATAGAAGTGTTCAGCCTACTCTTTAAAGATAGAATAGAAAAGTTCAGCCTACTCCTTAGACAAAGGATGTAAATTTTCTTTTTTTTTACCAAAAATAGAATTGTTTTATCTACCCTTAAAACAAAGAAAAGCATTGTTCAGCCTACTCTTTAGACAAAGAATAGTCTAGTTCAGCCTGCTCTTTAAGCAAATAATAAAATTGTTCAGCGTACTCATAAACAATGAATATAATAGTTCAGCCTACTCTTTAAACAAAGTTTAAAATTGTTCAGCCTACTCAGAAACAATGAGTAGAATAGTTCAGCCTACTCTTTAAGCAAAGAATAGAATAGTTCAACCCACTCTTTAAACAAAGCATAGAATAGTTCAACCTATTCCTTAAACAAAGAATAGAATAGTTCAGCCTACTCTTTAAACAAATAGAATAGTTCAGTCTACTCTTTAAACTAAAAACAGAATAGTTCAGCCTACTCTTCAAACAAAGAATAGAATAGTTCAGCCTACTCTTTAAACAAAGAATAGAATAGTTCAGCCTATTCTTTAAACAAAGAATAGAATAGTTCAGCCTACTCTTTAAACAAAGAATAGAATAGTTCAGCCTATTCTTTAAACAAAGAATAGAATTGTTCAGCCTACTCCTTAAACAAAGAATAGAATTTTTCAGCCTACTCTTTAAACAAAGAATATGATAGTTCAGCCTACTCTTTAAACAAAGAATAGAATAGTTCAGCCTATTCTTTAAACAAAGAATAGAATAGTTCAGCCTACTCTTTAAACAAAGAATAGAATAGTTCAGCCTACTCTTTAAACAAAGAATATAACAGTTCAGCCTATTCCTTAAACAAAGAATAGAATTGTTCAGCCTACTCTTTAAACAAAGAATAGAATAGTTCAGCCCATTCTTTAAACAAAGAATAGAATAATTCAGCCTATTCTTTAAACAAAGAATAGAATAGTTCAGCTTATTCTTTAAACAAAGAATAGAATTCAAGTCTACCTTCAATTTGTTGTCGCAGTCTTAACATCAATAATATAAATAAAATAAATCTCATTAACAGAGTCTGCTTTTATAACTCTCCTCATTCATAACAACCCAGTGCTTCAAATGATCTACTGCGACAACAGACTTAGATCTCTTATCTGCCCTCAAGTCTTCCACCACATATTGATCATTCGGTAAGATGTGGATCACTCTGAAAGGGCCCTTATATTTTGGAAGGAGCTTACGACTTTGGCCTGTAATCTCAGAATTAAGTCTTAAAACCATAATCAGATCCCCTAAGTCATAAAAATATTTTTTTCGAGACTTATCAAAACGAATTCACTGTTTGATCTGATCATTTTTAATTTGTTCAGACATCTTCTTTCTTATTTCAGCCAAGCCCCATTTTTCCAAAGTCTTTTTTATTTCAAATATCAGTTTAGAATCAGCCCGAGGATTTGGTACAACTCCAACTAATGCAGTATATATACTTTGGTATAGTATTTATGCCACACTAAATAATTTTTACATGCTGATCTCAGCAATCATCTTCATATCCTACACTCATGGCTCTTAGGCACTCCAATATCGTTCTATTAAATCTCTCACACTGTCCATTCGCTCTCGGGAAAGCCGCGGCATTTAAAATATGTTTTATACCATATTCAGAACAGAAATTTTTAAAAGTTTTGGAAGTAAAAGCGCTTCCTTTGTCACTAACTAAACGCCTAGGGGCTCCAAAAATATATATAAATGTTTTCAAAACTTTGATGCATTGTTTGGCACTTGTAAACTTTACTGCTTCCAGAAAGGTAAATTTCGTAAAGGCATCCACAATTACAAACAAATGTGTATTTCGTTTCCGTGTTTTCAGAAAAGGTCCTAAATGGTCAATATGTATTATTGTGTCAAATGGTACTGCCTTCCTTTCAATTGGGTGCAACAAGCCAGCTTTTTTTCGAGAGGGCATCTTCGTATATAAACAATTCAGGCAAGCAGATACGTATTTCTTTACAAATTTTCTCATTCCAGTGAACCAATAAATTTGTTTTATTCGGTCTATTGTTTTCTCACATCCTAAATGGCCAACATCGTCATGGTTCAGTTTACAGATTAGCCATCTTGATTACTTTGGGACAACCCACTTTCCTATATAGTCGTCCTTTTTTTAGAACATAATTATCAAAATAACTTTTATTTGGTCCTTTTGCATCTCCACTAGCCAACGTTCGCATTATGAGATTTAATGTTTCATCTTTGGATTGAACTGCGGTCACCCAATCTTCCTCTGTTAAGTTAATTAAGTTTACAATATTACTTTTATCTTGCGAAATAGAATTTCGACTTAAAGCATCTACGTGTCCCATACGGCTCCCAGGGCGGTAAACAACTTCATATTGATAATCTTGTAATTCAACCCACCATCTAGAAATTCTTGGGATATTAAATCCTTTTTCGAAATGGTGGTTCGCAAGGCATTGCAGTCTGTTATAACCTTGAATTTTATGCCAAGGAGATAAACTGTAAAAAAATCTAAGTGCCAATACTACTGCTAGTGCTTCCAACTCATAAGAATGATAAAACTTTTGTTCTGCTGAAGTCTGTTTGCTAAAGTAGCCCATGGGATCTTCTCCCCATTGAAATGGAACATTCTTTTTCAGCAATTTCGTAATTGGCGATGGCGATAGATGCATAATCCCAAGAATTGCCGAACTTGTTTCAAATTTGCAGGTAGCATCATCTCTGCTACTGCTCGTACCTTTTTGCTGCCAGGTCGAATGCCATCCTGTGAAATTTCTCTACCCAAGTAATCAAGTTTTTCCTTGAAAAACGTGCATTTGGGCAATTGTAAAGTAATATAATATTTCTTAAATAAAGTCAACGCATCTTTTAATTTTTTTTAAACTTTCAGAAATTGTATTTGCTGGTATTAAAATATCATCTAAATAGGCTGTAGCAACTTCAGATGATAATTCACTCAATATTTTATTGATAATTTTCTGGAAAACGGAAGGGGCATTAGTAAGCCCAAACGGCATTCTTAAAAACTCAAAGTGTCTATCGATCGGGTGTAATAAATGCGGTTTTCTGAATAGAATTTTCTTCCATCTGAACTTGATAGAAACCAGAAAATAAATCCAAAGAAATAAAATATTTATATTTCCCTAACATGTCTATTTGGTCCACGATCAGGGGTAAGGGAAATTTATCTTTTATTGTGACAGAATTTAATTTTCGAAAATCCACACACAATCTGGTATTCCCATTTGGTTTTGGGACAAGAATAATAGGACTAGCAAAAGAAGAATCCGATTCTCGAATTATTTTATTGTCTAGAAGTTCCTGTACCAATGATTTGGCAAGTTGTCTATGATCAATAGAAAGTCTATAAGGTCGATATACAACAGTATCTATAAGAGATTGTATCTTCTTCCCCTTAACAAGAGCAATTTTACAATACATATTAGTATCAGTATTACATATAAAATTTACTTTGTTAGCTGTTTTTTTAAAGGCTTCTATTACGTTTCCGGTAACAATCTTTCTCTATGTGACCGGGCTTTTTACAAAAATTGCAAACGTTGCTAGTTGAAGGTTGACTTTCAGGTTTATATTTTAATATTTTTACGCATCGATTTCGTTTATGGCCAACTTTGCCACATTTATGACAAGTAATATCTGCTTTTACAGCACCTGATGTAATATGATCATTAGATTTAATTTGATTTTTAATATCCCAATTTTTCAAAAATGCGACAAACGCATCTAAATTTGGAAATTCTTTTGTAGAAGTCAAAGATCGGACAAACGTATCATTAATACCATGTGTAACTATATCAATGATATCTTTATCACCAATTTGCCAATTCAATTTATAAAGTTTGTTTAGTTTTTCATAATAATAATCTACCAGTTTCTGCCCTGACTGGTGTTTTAAATTTGCTGCATCCCAAAACAAATATCCTATCGCATCTGACACATCAAACGTTTCTAATAGCATAGTTTTTCATTTCTCCCAACTATGACTAATCGAACGTAAATTAGAGTACCAACGCCAAGCTCGACCTTTTAGTTTATTTGTAACATACCGACAGGTAGTGATATCATCCCATTTGTTAAAATGAGCTCTCGCGTCAACAAGCCTAATCCATTTTTAAATATTTAAATTTTTATCGGCAGGATCAAAATCTGGTAGATCAGCAACATTTTCCAAATCAGTATAATCAAAACTACTTACAGTTTCTGCCTTTTTTAAACTATCTATTTCCTGCCTCAAACGTTTCACTTCTCGCTCCAAATCCAATGGAGGTGTTAGTGATCGGCCTTCACCCTCGCAGGCAGTATGCGAACCCCTAGCGCTAGCAGGCACGGCTCCCCGAGGCGTCGATTTCTCTCTATCCATAGTTTTTTCACACACAAACTTCACAAAATGTTTTTATTTTTATTTGGACAATGAGAACAATCCCACTTCTGACTTGTAAGGACAAAAACTCAACTTTTACAAAAATATTGCTTTAATACTATTATTTTATTTCGAACACTCCTGCCGTGACTACGGTCAAATATCTAATCATCTTTCCATTCATATGCGACACTTGCTGACACAACAGTTCCCTTTAGTTCAACATAGTTTATTTCTTCTCAAATTGTTTTCATAACCTGACCTAGGCCTTGCTGCGCCGCGTCGAGTGAATCGGACGGCAGACTTCATGTTAACAGTGACAGCGGCAGATTACCTTACAATCTCTTCAAGATAATTCATATCCCTACACAGAACCGAAATACAATGTAGAACAAGAAAACTTTTATGAGAACCCAGATATAGTACCTTATAGCACAAATCAACCTAATTATTCAGCAAATTCTAATGAACATTATTTAAACGAAAATTTTCAGAAAGTAGCCTCGGTGAATATCCAGAGGTGATTTTAGAATACAACTCTATTTCATTTTCATCTCCTTTGCCATACATTGAAATCAGAGGTAATCAAAATTCAATTTTAAAACTTTTAATTGACTCTGGATCTACTAAATCAATTCTTCGCCCCGAAATTTTAGAAAATCATTTTTAGAATATCTGTATAATGACCCGGTACATATTAAAACATCTTTAGGAACAAAAATTATAATGCAGAAAGCTAATATCCCTTATCCTCCAAAATTTAATTTAGAAGACACTATGAATGTAATGTCATTTAATTTCCATGAATATTTCGATGGAGTAATAGGCCTAGTAGACCTAGTCAAAACTCATATAGATTTTTCAGAAAATACTTTAACCGGCTCTACTTTTCAACTCCCTATATTTTTTCGTAAACCCGAAACTACCTTAACGACCCATTACCTAGAACCTCACCAGGGCAAATTAGTCAAAATTCCTATTGAACAAAATTATTTAGATGATACTGAAATTATTATCGAAGAATATCAATTCAGAGATAAGAAATTAATTATTCCAAATTCTATTTCAAAAATTAAAAATGGACAGTGTCTAGTAGAAATCCAAAATTTTGAAGACCCCACAATTTATCGAGTTTAGAGAACCTTTCCCAGCCAAACCAATTTCCGATTATTTCGTCCAAAGAAAACGTAATTTTATAAATAGATCTTTCCAAAATAATACTAAACCTACCACAATTCCCTATGAAACAGTAAATTCTTTAAGTATCTTTAACATCTCATTTAAACTCTGAAGAAAAACTTTTATTATTTAAAACTCTTTCTGAACACGATTACGAAATCAAATATAAACCTGGTACTACTAATAAAGTAGCTGACGCCCTATCACGTATAAAAATCGAAGAATTTAATCCTATTGAAGATACACGATCAATGATTGTTAACATTCCAGACGACCTAGACGATTTAGACATTGACGATATACTACATCAAAATTCTACTCCAGATCCTCAAATACTAGAAGACTTAGCTCAAAATCTACCCGAAGATCAAACAGTCCATTCATCCCACGAAAAACCCGTTTTTACTATTGCTATTACAGAAAAACCGGTAAATAACTATAACAATCAATTAAGAATTTCTGAAAGCCCTAATGTAAAAATAAATTCTTCTTCCTTTCAACTTTTGTTCGATAAACACCAAGTGAGTGAAATTACGTTGAAAACTACCAATTCAGACGAAGCAACGTTTAGCTTTATTAAACATTTTCTCAATCTAAATGAATTAAACTGTTTCTATTTTCAGAATTTAAATATAGGAAGAAAATTTGTCAACATTTTAAAATCATGCTTTGCTAGCCAAATAATTAAGAACTTTATCATATCTCATGTAAAAATAGAGGACATCCCCGATAACATGGAACAAAGACGAATTATGCACTATCATCATCAAGGAAAACAAATACACCGCGGTTTTAATCAAACAATAGCTTCTATTAAAAGACTATATTACTGGCCCTTGTTAGATAACGACGTAAAGAATTTCATTAATGAATGTGTGCCATGCCAGTCAGCGAAATATGAAAGAAACCCAGTAAAGATTAAATATCAATTAACACCTACACCTTTAAAGCCACTACAGAAATTACACACCTTTTGACCCTTTTTCCAAATTAGGCCAAGCTATAAAAATTGAAACAAAGAATACGTCAGCCATAATCAATGCCTTTCTTAAATTTGCTAGTTGTTTTAACTTTCTAAAAGAAATCGTTTGTGATAATGAACAAGCCTTTAATTCTCAACTTTTCAAGGAATTCTGTAAAGTCCATTATATAAATTTACATTTAGTAACACCTATGCACTCGACTTCAAATTCTCCGGTTGAACGTTTACACTCTACTCTCACAGAATCTTACCGTTCACTATCAATTGAAAAACCCCGTGAAAAAGATGTAGAATATAAAATGCTTTTATGTGTGTTAGTTTATAATACATAATACGATTCATTCCACCACAAAGAAAACACCATTTGAAATTTTATAAGGCCCTAACTTCTCCCCTCTCGACATGTCAGATGAGCAAATTATTAACGATTATTGTGAACAACATAAAAATTACGTAAACACAATAAACACTCAAGTTCGCGGTGAAATTGAAAAACAAAAAGATAAAACAATAACAAAGGCAAACGAAAAACGCGAAGAACTAGTAGAAGTTCAATCAGACACGGAAATCTATGTTAAAAACCCGGGTTAGTCAAAATCACGTCCTATGTTTTCAAAAGGACAAGTAATTTCCCAAGACTCTCCCTTTCATGTAACCACAAATAACGGACGTATTCATAAACAACAAATTAAGAGAAAAAGGAAGGTATATCCAAAATCACAAGATAAAGAAATTATAATTCTGGAAGCTAAAGAAAACGAAATAACTCCTCCGAATTCTCCACCTCAACCCCTTCCATACGAAAAGGTACACCCTACCATTACTAGACAAGACTTAGACAAAAAGTTTATACACACCAGAACACTAGAAATAAATCCTAATCAGGAAGAACCTTCCCAATTAAATCACCAATGTTTCGGAAATCGGTACATTACATCCAAACATTATGTTTCAGATGTACCTTCTACTACTGTACGTCGCTATCCTGCCAGAAATTTATCACCTCCAAGTAGAAGAAATAAAAACGCCTTTACTACCGACACTCTTTAGTCTAAAAACTAAAGTCCTGTCTCATCCTCATTCCTTCATCACTAAATATTCATTGGAACCATATATACAAATCCTAAATAATTCAAAAATACAAATTAAACAAGTTACGCAAGACGAAAAAATTGAAATAGATCAATATATAAGAGAGTTGATCAATAAATTCCAATCACACTCACGCGCAAGAAGAGGCTTAATTAATCTAATAGGTAAAGTTAATAAATACCTATGGGGAACCCTTGATTCAGACGACTTGGAAGAAACAAATTCAAAATTCGAAACATTATTGAATAACCAAGATCAAATTCAGGAAGTAATTAATGCCCGTACATCTATTTTGAAAAATATTACAAAATCTTTTGAAAAAACCACACAGGAACTTTTAGAAAATCAGAAACAAATCTCTACTAGACTTAATCTATATGCTCGCAAAATCAATACTATTAAGTTCAAAATTTTATTACAAAAGTGTATAACTAATCTAGAATTCTTAAACGAGGCCGTTCAACTTTCTCATTTTGGCATTAGCTCCCCTTATTTAATTTCAAAAGAATTAATTTCTGAAATGACCACTCAACTTTATAGATTATATAAATCTGAACAATTACTAAATTTAGAAGTTAATTACTCAATTATATCTATTATCAGGACGAATATTATTATAATTAAAGATTCACTTCTGCTGCATTTCTCCTATCCTATCTTTCATCCTGTAAATTACAATCAATATAAATTGATCCCACTACCTTTAATCAATTTCACCATTATTCCCCCTTATCCAATAATCCTCCTATCGGAAGACGCCAGCAGTAGCTTATGGTATGATGAAGAATGCCAACCCTTAGAAGAATATAGTTTATGTATAGACAAGTCACCACAACGTATCGAAGATACCTGTTATGAACCCTTGCTCAAAGGACAACCCGACCTCTGTCAACAAACAAAAATTCATTTAAAACGTTCCTTTATCGACATAAGTTATACCAAACTGGTCATCGTGCCAATAAACGAAAGCCTTCTTATCAAAGAAACTTGTTCTAAACATCTTACCACAACATTCATCTCAACTCCAACTGTCATAACGTTGGATCGTCAATGTTCCACGGAAGTAAAGGATGAAATAATTTCTACACCTGAATCCAATTTACCACCCCAAACTATTATACTGCCTATACCAAAATATTCCAATTTCTCACTGGACATTTCAACAAAACCTCTCTTATATTTAAACGGCATACAAAGATCAATCTCGGAACTACCCGGAGTTCATATTCAACATTTCTCCCCCAATTCATCCAATAACTTTTGGATATGGTTAACTTTAGGAGCTATCATACTCCTCATTTTTCTATGTAAATGCTACCCCAGGATATTCTCGTATTGCAACCCCTACAAGAGAGCATTTTGTCACATAACCCCCAGAAAGGCTAAGGAGACGCAATCAATGGAAAAACCAAAGTCTTCCTACTGAACTTGTCGCTTTGAAGTCCGCCGATCCTGGACCTACTCCAAAGCTCCAACCCCCGAGGAATCCTTTCTAAGGAGGGATGTGTTATCCAACACCCTGTATATATATTTTCACGCTATTTATATATTATTTTATAACTACTATTTACTTATAAGTGTCTCTTATTATTATGCTGACAATAGAAAATCGCCTGCTGAGTTGCTAGCTGATAATAAATCGTATAGAGACCCAACCAGCCGCTCAGGAGGACGACTATAGATTCAGACTTCACGTTGTTAATTGTAATTAGACAAATAAAAGTGTTTTCTTCAAAACTTGTTATAA